TCCGGTCCCGGCAATCCAGGCTGTCCTTCCGCTCCTCGGATTCCTGGATCGCCCGGCTGTCCTGGATCTCCCTTCGGCCCATCATCTCCACTCGGCCCCGGTTGTCCCGGCGGTCCTGGCATTGGTGATAATAATGAAGGGCATGCCTGAAAATAAAATTTGAAAATATTTGCAGAAAAATACTTCAAATAACACTTCAAAAGGAAACTTACTTGGACCGTTAAAAGAGCGCAGATAACCGGTAGGAATGTAACGAAAGGATGCATCATCGATAATGACAATCTGAAAATTTTCAATTTTTTTCCAAAAGTCCAGTTTTTGACTCTTCCAGTAAATCATTCCTTAATGAAAATCTTACAAAAAAGTACAAAAATTCAAAGTGAAATTTGACGAAATGAAAATGGAAGAGAGATTTCTACTTATATGGGAAGCTGATCGTCTGATATGAATCATTCCAGAATTCATAGAACAAAGAAACATAAATTTTTTAGGAATGGTCACAGCGCACAATGCAGTATTATGTTGGCCTTTACGGTGAAAACATGAACGTTTCGTTTGATTGCATATCCTCTCCGAAGAAGTTCGTGCAAGCATTTTCTCCTTTCAGACATTCAATTCGTTGTTAGAGTGTAGGATAATTCAGACATTCCCAGTAGTTTTTGTTTGCAAAATGCACGAGGTCTTTTATCCTTACTAATTTTCTCTGAATTATTGGTTGACTCAAGACTTTTAGCGTTGGCTAATTTGGATTGTTTACTGCAAACAAACCGGAGGTTTCACCTTTAGCATTACTGTATGAGTTTGGCTCATATTTACTGCTTTGTTTTTCTGGATTAATTTCATCAGGAGTTGTCGAAGGTTATCTACAGTCCAATTCTTCTTTTCTGTTTTTAATTGATAATCTTTTCTGGGATCCATGATGGCAATTTGCTTTCAATGTCATTTCAATAATAGAATGTTCTATGTTCTCACCTATTGCTTCTAATTATCAAAGACTCTTTTACACCGCTTCGATAATTGACTTCCATTCGGAAGTCGTTATACAACGATTTTTTATAGTCCCGAACTTCTTGATTAAAACCTGTCACATTAGTTCATGGTCAGTGTCATAGCCTCTTACTGATCGTAAGGCTTTGCTTGCATCTCTGAATTGTTTCTTGCATACTATATATGGCTGACATCTGCAATAACATAATTTTTACCTTCGGTGACATACGGTAGACAGGTTTACAGTCTCCAGCAGAACAAACCGTATCACTCTGTGTACAGTAACTCAGACAATGAAATGATACATTAATTTGTATCCCTCAAAGTATCCACCCCCTTCATTTGCGATAACGCAATCTTTGAGGTATTTTCCATCATAGCGTCTAACACTTCCTGGATTGGCTGAAGAGTAGAGTTTCTGATAATTTTATTCTTTGCCGCTTCCAACTTCTCTGCTGTCAAGCTAATAATTTTGCTAATATTCTGCTTCGATAGCTGTGATCCGTATTTTGAATCAGTTGCGTCGATATGAACAATTGGCTGATTTCCATTTCTGATACTATTATTTATTACCAATCATGTTTGTTCTTATCTATTAATGGAAAAACTCGTTTCCTTCCAGAATTGATTATTCAACTGCCAAGATTTTTGATATCAAATGTATTTTTCATGTGATAGATTAATTCAATATATAATCAGTTTCACAAACATGAAATGAAAAAGCCAATTTTTTTTCGCATCGAAAATAGCTTTTTGTTGGAAATGTAACAAAACAGTCATGAAATAAAATGAAATGAATCTTCAGGAAATGAATTATCTCTGCTGCTTGACGGAGTCAAATATTTGTTACAAAAATCAGGTTCCTACCAGTTTTCTTTGCAAAACTTAGCTCCAATCTTGCTTTAAGCAAAAGAGCAATAAATTTGAACAGTTTGAGAATCTCTACGAATTTGCGACACAGTGAGAAGAGTTGTCAACGATAGGTTGGTACAAGCAAAAAAATAGAAATGAGAGAATGATATCATTCAGAGGGATTGTTTCGATATCTCCGGCAAATTCCATTGTCGTTGCTTTTACCCTGCGCCTGCTCCCTGTGGTCCCATAGGCCCCGTCTCTCCTTTTTCACCCTGTGCTCCTTGCACTCCCGCTGGTCCAGGCAGCCCTTTTGGTCCATCCGGTCCCGGCAATCCAGGCTGTCCTTCCGCTCCTCGGATTCCTGGATCGCCCGGCTGTCCTGGATCTCCCTTCGGCCCATCATCTCCACTCGGCCCCGGTTGTCCCGGCGGTCCTGGCATTGGTGATAATAATGAAGGGCATGCCTGAAAATAAAATTTGAAAAATTTGCAGAAAAATACTTCAAATAACATTTCAAAAGGAAACTTACTCGGACTGTTAAAAGAGCGCAGATAACCGGTAAGAATGTAACGAAAGGATGCATCATCGATAATGACAATCTGAAAATTTTCAATTTTTTTCCAAAAGTAATGAAAATCTTGCAAAAAAATATAAAAATTCAAAGTGAAATTTGATGAAACGAATTTCGAACAGAATTTCTATTTATATTGGGAAGTTGATCGCCTGATATGAACTGTTCCAGAATTCATAAAACAAAGAAACATTTATGGAATGGTCATATCGGATGCAACAAAATACATCATTAAATGATTATTGATAATATCTGCGAAAGCTGAACGAACCTTTTCATGAGATGATTTAAGGTAGAGATTCGTGAACTGATAGATCGGTTGATAGAGCAATTCGGGAGTATTACTCCGGTATTCCATTGTTCACTACATATTCTTGACTAAAGTGAACCTCTGCGAGTAATTTATCCCTGAATTAACAATTAATCGATCTGCAAAACTTTCGCAATAAATTTTTGGTGCCCAGGTCAGGGACGCTATCACTTCTTTAGACAAAACAGGTCAACAACTATCAAAAGAATCCTGAAACTCCTCAAGACTGTTAAGGAACTCGATTTAACACCACAGATCGAAATTTACTGTAAGGAGAAATATGAAATCAAAGAATAGATTGTCAAAAATGAAATTAAATCTTTTGAAATATGTGTCAGTATGCTGGAATCGATTAATCAGAAGTGATTGGATCTTATGAAACAACCGACATCAACAAAGAAGAAGACAAAACAAAAGAAAGCTAGTGACAACAAGGTATTTTAAACTTAATAAATTGTGGTAAGGAAGCCATCATTAATTTGAGTCCATATTACGATGATTTCGAATTAGCATTCCAACATATAAAGCCGATTCACTTGCTATTCAACAGTAGGTCTACCATAGTTGCCACTATTAACTTTCAGCGAAAATCCATCCCAAATTTAGCTTGAATTCTGGAGTAGTTTTAATGCAGCCATACATCTCTGAGAAATTCTAATTATTCAAAAACTTACTTAGTTGAACGACTTGCATTATGATAAGTAAGCAACAACTAGATGAAGCTGATTGATATTGAAAGCAGCTCGCTGTACTTCTTATTCGACTTCATGTCAAATGAGGACCAAATGAGATTCACAAATAACTGAAAGTGGATATACCAAAATGGTTAGTGATTTTAATGATGACAACTTCAAACTCGAGAGAGATCTTGTTAAAATCAATTCTATTCAAATACACATAACAATTCCAGAAATAGACCAATTTTGGAAACTGGAGATAACGGGTATGTGAAACAACCAAACGTCAAAAGTGATCAGAAGGTATTGGAACAGTTCAAATAAAGTCATTAAAAAGAATAAAGGAATCAAGTCTGTCCTGAATCAAGGATCGCCCTGCAGCATAACTGTGATCTTTGTCTCGAACGATATCGGAAACCCGAAACTAAAATTATTTATATTTTAGCTAATCATGTTAATCATTTATTTCTTATAATTATCAATCAAATTCCTTAATAATTCATAAATTGTAATGTGTTAACGAATTCCCATGCTAATCTGTTATGTCATCTAAACACTTCCTGTCTTATAAGCCAAATTAATTCTAATCTAATGATTAATCTTGTAATACACATCCATTCCCATCTCTATTCGTTATATTATCACCTTATTCCTTTTGTAAAAACTATC